GAACACTGGGTCGTGAGTCGCCCGGGCCAACCAAGCCTTCCATCCCTCCGGGGTCGGTTAATTGGTACCAGACTTGTCTGGAGAGGATAAAACACTGACTTGTACATCGGCTGGCCCCCGCAAGTCATTGTATAGGCCACATCGCATTCAAACGCCACTACGAATGTACAAATGGAAGTATAATAGGTTGCGTGCCGCATCCAAGAGGGCAAATGTATTAATCATTATCCTTTTTTTTAGGTTCTCTTAAATCAATTTTAATCAATTGTGCTACTGATTTGAGTCACATCCTCTGAAGCTCATAGCCAGGAGCCTTTGAGGTATGCACAAAAAGTCGTAGCAGTCTAAGGTTTCTCTTCATCAGTGGATCATTGGAAAGCCATTACCACTCTTCACATCTCATCGAACTCACGCCATCTCTTTCCGTTACGTTTTTGCCTGAAGTGCTTCTCTTGCGGAAGGCTTGGCAAATGTAATAGCGATCATGCCTGTCAGTACAAATCACGCCATGTACGAACAAAACTGCAAAATTGTGAGCTATTTAAGTCAGCCACCGTCAATACAGGGAGGAACGAGAAGACGGGAAATAGTGTAGTAGTATTATGTAGTATTTTATTAATTGCCCGACCGAAACTATCCCCAAGGAAAGGGGAGGAAAAACTGTAGTCAAGACTGTTTTAGGGAAACTATAGTCGGGAGGCCAGAGTCAAACCTCTGCTGGTAGGGCTAAATTGATTGGAACGTTCATTATTCGTAAGAATAGACATTCACTTCATTGTGAAATCCACGACCTTGTTGGTTTATTTGTGAGTTTGTCTATCTGTCCGTCTGCAGAATGAAGTGAGTGCTAGGGTAGCTTATGGAATAAATAGGCTAACAATGCGTAGAGCGTATGAGCTTGCATGATTGTGAGAACACTCGAGCGACTATATAAACACCTATGTAGCACACTTTCGCTCATTGTGCGTGGTGCTGCAGTGACAGCTGGAGAGCAATGGAAGGGAAGGAGGGAGGATAAGGAGAGGGAGGGACGCAAAGCTTACGCAGAGAATGGATGTTTCGGCGGTTGCTCGGGGCCAATCTGGTAAATAGATAAGACAATTTGTAAGGATTAAAAATAATGAATCACCTAGCGCAATTATATCTGAGGAGCGATGCCGTCAGAAGGTCATTCAATGGAAACCTGATGCTTCTACATACTAGATGGGCTGGTACAGAAGGCGAACAGTTCGAATAATCTTGCAGCTATTCCTTTGCTGAAATATATTGTGAGTGCCTATGGAAGCTGCCGCTTCATAGTTAAGATTGTACTTTCTATGCCCACAATTCCTTTGTTACTATGCCCATAGCAACCCCTTTATATATGATTGAATGGGACAGCATCTCATAAAATGTCGACAAAAAAGATACACTGCATGATGGAAAGCTTCCTATGAAACACGACATGTAAGAAAAGGTTCCACCATGGAAGTTTGGATGAACTTAACTTCACAAATTAGGGCACGTGCATTCCACAGTTGTTGCCACCTGACGAAGAACTTAAGTGACAAGTTGTAATGGATTGATCGCAGTTGTTGTGCCTCTTTTTTGGTGTTAGGCGGGGTTTCGGTTCATGTACGGGCTACGCTTATGTGAGAATGCGTGACTGGGGTCTCGTGAAATGGGAATTTTTTGAAGTCTTCGCTAGAAAACTCCTGCCTGTGTATCACTTTTTTGGTGCCACTGCAAAAATGAAAGAGAGAAGGGTTTTATTCCAGAATTTAACTCACCATAATTATCATCAAACACTGCCTATGATAAACCGTTGAGAAAAAGCTGAGCTCATTAAGTTCCTTTTCTCATGAGAAAATTGATTCATTCATATCGGAGCTTTATCCCTACCCCCTGCCAAAATCGCGAGTTCTGTAGGAAGCATGAGCTATTATGGCTTACAACGGCCTTTTCATGATGACGCCTTCCCCTTTTTGAAAGGTCTAAATTTCAAAAAAAATTTGTTTTGTTCTTTTGAATCTCACTCTTCTCATTCTCACTCCGGATTCAAAATAGTCGAAAACATAACGTTTCAAAAATAAAAACGAATGTTGAGAGGGGAGTAAGTTTACTCTGAGGATAACGTTTGGTAGACACTGTATGCGATGAGGCTATCAGTCATAGGATGCGATGTGTCTTGCCAAAGCGAGCCTCCACTTTCGTCCAACCAGCTGCAGTGTACCTCCACACACGGGTTAAGCGGCTGATCTGCACGGCAGAGTTTGGCGGCGAACGCACTGTCTAATGAGAAGGTGTGTTTCATAGTAGAGCGAGCTGAAAGACTTTTATTGAAGGTATCAATGGTGACCGTGTTTGACAGATTCTCGCTTCAATTCGCCATGCAAATGTGAGCCTTGCTTCCCACATGGGAGACTCGTTCCGTAGAAATCCCATTCTTGTTTCATAGCAGTTGCGCAGAAGTGTAAACGTGACGCACATGCACGGCAGATAAGAAGGCAATAAGCACGACCACGAGCGACTATAGGAACTATGGAAACGTGCAAGTTCTTACTAATACGTGGATTAATATTGGGTTGTCCAGAAAATCCTGCGACACTTTAAACAAAGTTCTTTAGGAAAAGACCAAAACTCTTTCCAGTAGTTTTGGTATTTGATTGCTGCAGTGTATCTTCGGAGGTTTCGGCAGAAGCGTAAATGGAGGCTACGTGCGGCGTTTAACTGTTTCAAACTTGTCTCTGAATCAACACATCTTTTGACCTATTTTATTTTTCGAGCTCCTGTAAAGCCACCGTTTGTGTCCTTGCAGCTAGCATCTGTGCTGTAGTCAGGAGGGATGTCATTCACTAGGCCATGGTGTCCCGTTGGCCTTGTTCCCTCGCAACTGGAGATATTTTGTTCGAAATGGGGCACGGAGCTGGACGGCAGTAGACGATGACTGACAAGCGTTTACTCAACTTCCAAGAGGCGCAGCCGGTTGGTACCAGTAGTAGGTTAACAACAACGCTTATGTGCATTCATTCGACAATTGTCGAGGATCTGCACGATCTCGGTTACAGATCAGTATGTTCGCCATTGACACCACATGGGTTGCGCCAGTCTGGGGAGGCGAACCGTGTGACCATGATTCAGATTTCTCTTCTTCTTTCGCATCAAAGGAATCTCTTGACAAAAATGATGGCTAATGAAGATAGCTCTGGCCTTGACTAAACTATACACATAAGCACTACTGGATTCGACAAGGAGGAAAGCTACCCGCAGGAACGAAAGCAGGCCTTCGTCAAGAAGGACTTTTTAGTGTTTCTGATGAGGTTGCAAACTGATTCGCTACAGAAAGCTGCTGGATACCTGCACCAGGGTATCGACCATTGTCGGCTTTAACAACCTTCGAAATTTGGCCGAAGCCATGCGTCAAATCACGCAGAAATTCTCGATACGGTGTTACCCCACCCTAACCCGTATCTGTATGTGGCGAAGGATGAGGAGATCGTGGATTTTGATCGGGAAATTCTGCAGTGCTTGGCTTACTCGCCTGACTTAGTCGTTTCTAAATATTGCGTAATTAGTACACTGAAGCGCTACCTCGAAGAGAAAAAATCCAATGATTGAGGTCACCTCGAAAATTGGATGAAGCGCTTCTTTTCGAAGCAAACGCCGGATTTCTAAAGTAAGAGGGTTGAGAAGTTGCCCAGAAAAAGTACACGTCTCCTACGTGCTACCGGTGATAACCGTGCTGATTGAATATCCCATTCAACAAAAAAAGGTACAGTCAAAAATCTTGGAACAAAGTGTCGCAGGATTTTCTGGACAACCCAATAAATAGAGAATAAAGTACCAGGCGTAGGTCAATCTACTGCTGGGATGCACCACGCGTTTTACGTCCATTCAGAAACGTGGTAGCAGTTTGAGTGCGTTTCAGCAAATACAATCAATGACTTCGAAGTTTATCCTTCGAGACGAGTCTGGTACTAATCGGCTACCCCGCTACCCCGGAGGGATAGAAGGCT